ATTAAGGAACTTTTTGGATTCTTTTTTTTTAAATCAAGTAAACCGAAGTTGTTTCAGTCCAGTTCACCTTGAAATATTACTAGCAATATAAAAGTTATCTTTGGTTTATAAGAATCAGTAAAGATTTCACAGCAAAAAAAAACAAAAACAAACAAACAACAACCCGTAACCCACCTGAATGTGTATGGTTTGCAATTATACTAAAAGGTCTTTTACTTGCTAAAAAAATAAATAAAAAAATCACATGACAGAAGGCATGTAGTAGATTTTGTACAAAACAGGTTTTCAGCAAAGTTTTGATGATGTTGATTATTAAAAATAACATTTCAAATACGAGACAGTACACTTCATAGGGTTAAAGCAATAAGATGATGTGACATCATGGTTCCCCTTGTGTTTCTAGTCACCTGCATTGTCCCCTCAAACTGCGTTTCCTGGAGTGTCCACCTGATCTTACAGGAAATGAGGAGTATGTGGATGAAGCAGCTGTGTTCTTCTCCGACCCTCTTCACTGGCTCAGAACATCCTTTCCATCTCGGTCGACGTTACCATCACATTTAGTGCTGTTTGACTGCCTGGAGAAGGTAAAAGATCGAAAGCAATTAAATGTAGTCAAATTAAATCACTTGATGTTTACACTTACTAAAGAGACCAGGGGCCTATACCATGAAGCCGGTTTAGGTGACTAGCCCGATATGTTTCAGTTTAGTTTGTGCCAACCCTGGGTTTTAGGTACCATGAAAGTGGTTTGGCTTTTAGCAGTGTTCATTGCCATAGTAACTTGCACTCCACGGCTAACCTGGTCCGGGGCAGGTTATGTTCCAGGTAAGAGGTTGCAAACCGAACTTGGACCAATCAGCTGTGAGCAAAGTGACACATGTATGACACGACATGATAGAAGTCACTCCACAGCAAATAATATTAAAAGACAAAATCATGGTTTTTAGTAAATAAATTTGTATGATTTAGAAATTATTTCTGTAATTATTATATCCTAAAACAATCTAATTTAAGTTCATCAATTATTATTACGCAGATTTTAAATGAATACGTATATAAAGGCAATATAAATATGCTTTAGAATCAATAAATGAAGCTATAAAATGACTACATGTGAGAACATAAACTAACTTCACAACTTTTTCTTGCACTCATATACAGTAGCGAGACTTTCTTTTAGTTGTCCTCTTTCATAGACGGCTATTTTCTTCTTGCTGTGTAAATTTGTTTAAATTCTTAATATTTTAATACTTTTATTTAATACGTGAATTGCGCTGCTTCTCTCGCGAGAAATTAATTTAAATGAGTTTCACTCTTTCTCAGCATGTGATTGGCTGTTCGCTACTGATGTCACACCTAAACTCCTTAAAGGATTAGTTCACTTTTGAAAAAACGTTTGATAATTTACTCACCCCCATGTCATCCAAGATGTCCATGTCTTTCTTTCCTCAGTCGAAAAGAAATTAAGGTTTTTGATGAAAACATTCCAGGATTTTTCTCCATATAATGGACTTACATGGGAACCAGACGGTCCGAGGTCCAAACGACAGTTAATAACAGTTTCAGATGCAGCTTCAAATGTCTTTAAACGACACCAGACGATGAATAAGGGTCTTATCGTGCGAAACGATCGGTTATTTCAAAGCTTATTCCAAAAATGTAACTTTTCTAAGGACAAATGCTAGCCTTGCTCCATTCTGTGAGGCGCGTTTGTAACGTCACGTAATACGTAATTACGTTCAAAAGGTCACGGGCGACGTAGCCGGAAGTACAGAGTCAGAGTGTTTACAAGTTGAACGCATTTTGAAATAACCGATCGTTTCGCATGATAAGACCCTTATTCATCGTCTGGTGTCGTTTAAAGACATTTGAAGCTGCATCTGAAACTGTTATTAACTCTCGTTTGGACCTCGGACCGTCTGGTTCCCATGTAAGTCCATTATATGGAAAAAAATCCTGGAATGTTTTCATCAAAAACCTTAATTTCTTTTCGACTGAGGAAAGAAAGACATGGACATCTTGGATGACATGGGGGTGAGTAAATTATCAGCAAAAGTTTTTTCAAAAGTAAACTAATCCTTTAACTTAGGATCAAAGCCTGAGTTGACAGAGAAAGTTGATGATCTGCATTATGGTACCAACAAAGCCTGGTTGGATTGGTTTGGTTTTGTCAACTCAAAACTAGTCCTGCAACCCTGAGTTTGTTCAACTACCATCATGGTACAGGCCCCCGAGGTGATACTTCCCTGCAAGTCGTAAATCCAATTGCTCTTGATTTGAGGAATCATTTTTGTTTGGAGCGCAATTGCTGCAGGACCTTAAAAGTTGAATACTTCTTTTTAGAGGTTTGATTGAATACATCACTTATTTTCTTGAGACTAATTTTGTTTCTTTCTCTTTTTTAGGAGATTGCAGCATTCCTGGAGGAAAACAGATTTACCAAACAAGCTGAAATATTCCACACTCACTTTCCTGAAGGTCGAGTGGGAAAAAACATACTAATATACCAGAGGATCTTGACTGAAGATTGATTCATTTTCATAGTTTGAAGATGTACAACCGAATGCAAACCTATATAAAGACTTGCTTTTGTTTTGTTACATTCTCTCTAATTTCACACCAGAATCACAAACACTTTTCCAGTGTATCCAGGGCCCGTATTCATAAAGAGTCTAAGAATCCTCTCAGAAAACTCTTTTAATTTAGCTTAAAAACTTTTACGTAGGAGTCTTAGCGATTCTGGACCGATCTAAGAGCAACTCTGAGTAAGGAAAACACAAAAACTTTCATCTTAGTGAGGAGGTGGGGTTGACCCTATTGCTATGTATGACACAATCTTTTGAAAACTGTGATTGGTTGGTTGTCCAAGAAGGAAAAAGTATTTTTTAAATCCTTTTTTTTACCATGCTGTTAATTTCCTAAAGTATTTGATTGGCTTAGAATGATAAAAAAAAATTTCCACTCTTTTCAATCACACTGATTGCTGAGGTTCTGAAAGTGCTGTAATTTTTTGCGTGATCATTGCTTGCAGAAGGTTGTGACAGAACCAAATCACTGCTGCTTTATTGTATTTTCCCATTTGCCAAATATCTTAATGTAGTGATTACTTTCATTTCTGGCGTTATGGTATTCCTGCGCTGTGTCTGAGATATTAGCATGTCTCTAATAAGATCGGTCACAAACATGATCCCTGGGGATATTCAAATTAATTAACCAATCAGTAATACCATTGATCAGCTCTATCTAACGTGGATGTTTTTCCACAAAAAAATGAATCATCCATTGTCTGCAGCACATTTCTTCTCCCTCTTCATCTTTCTGCCATTTTCTCCTCTGCTAAAGAAACACTTAAGCCTCTTAAAAGTCCTCATCCACACTCCTAACAATTTTGACCTTAAAGGAGAACTGTGGCGCAAAATGAACCTTTGGTCTAATAAAACATCGGTACCTAGTTAATCGTTCTCTGAGATTTGTTTTCATGATAATCGAATGTAAAGAGTTGTATCTCTAAAAACTGTTTAGCGTATATGCTAGTAATGGGGGCATGATTGACTAAGTAAAAAGAAATCGCTAGTTTATACCACTAACAAGGCTCAAAATAGCCCCACACTAACACAGTAACATAATGAGGCTCCATACATGCAAAACGAAGCATTGAGACCGTTTAATAAGAAGATAATTTATGAAGACAGTTCACTTCACGTATACAGACAGGAGCCATCTTAGGAAATAGTCTCGATAAGTCAAACCATGAACGTCGTGCTGAGTGATCTGAACTGTATGAAGTTCAACCAGTCTAATTGAAGAGAGTTGGCACTGGCTGGTTACTTCCGGGTTCTGGACTGGCTGCAGTAACGCGTCTCTGTCCATGCGGGGGCGCTCGCGGTCGAGTGCAGAATGAATGGGAGTCAATGGGGTTTCACCCCCAGAAATCCACTTTTCTCAGGATGTAATTTTTTGTCAAGGAAAGTTGCCTTCAAACGGGAGGGCTAAGATAATACACTCAGCTGAAAATTGCAATTTTAAGTTCACTTATCTGTTCTAAAAATCTGTTTAAAAATGTGATGACGTCACACAATAGCAGAATGCTAGCGTGTTACGGCCAACAACGGCCTAACCTGTACGAAATCAAAAGGACATAAGTACTCTCGTTCATTCGACTTTTGGCCTATAATCTATATTGAACTTGCGGAATCAACAATAAAATCTATTTTGATTTAACGACAAGCAGGTGAAAGAGACACATTTAGCCGTTTAGCCCCATAGACTCCCATTCATTCTGCACTCGCCCGTGATCACCTCCAGTGGAATTCTAATGGAACTGCAACCAAGATAATACACAACGGGGCTAATAGCAAGTGCCAAGGCTCTCCGTTAGACGGGCTCTGGTTCAACGAACTTCTGAACTATATGAACGGCGTTCGGGGATCGACTTATCGGGACTATTTCCCAAGATGGCTCCTGTCTGTATACGCGAAGTGGACTGTCTTCAGAAAGTATCTTCTTATTAAACGGTCTGTACACACTTACAAAGTTCTCAATGCTTCGTTTTGCATGTATGGACCCTCATTATGTTATTGTGTGAGTGTGGGGCTATTTTGAGCCTTGTTAGTGGTATAAACTAACGATTTCTTTTTACTTAGTCAATGCCCCCATTACTAGCATTATACGCTAAACAGTTTTTAGAGATACAACTCTTTACATTCGATTATCATGAAAACAAATCTCAGAGAACGATTGACTAGGTACCGATGTTTTATCAGACCAAAGGTTCATTGTTCGCCGGAGTTCTCCTTTAAGACCTCTTTTAAGGGTTAAGATGCTTTCTGAATGACTTTTTTTCTTTACTAGGATTTTTTCTTTAATTTTAAAAGTAAACGCCCACATTTCTAAGAATTTTCTTAGAATTTTGTCACTAGGAGCTACTGTTTGCACTAAGATTCTTTATGAATACGGGCCCAGATCTGTTTGTAGCTTAATAGGTCAAAGCAGGAAAACAATTACCAGTGAAGCATAGAAATACTTTTATTCTACAGTTTAAGTGCAACATTAAGCAGTTAAGTGCATTTATGTTCAATAACATTAGAGCAGATGGCTAGTGCATCTTACATCTGTTTCAAAACAAGGAATGTTACTTAGCCAATAACCTCACAAAAAAGAGGGGGAACTGGGAACTAACAACTGATTAGCATGGTCAAATAAAACAGCTCCGCAACAACCAGTCAAACCAGACCACTTCAAAGTTACCCATATAATGCTGCGTAATCCTTAAATTATTATTTTACATCTAAACATCTGACCTTGTTTTTCAATATAATTTATTTTGATTGGTTATTTTGTCTTAAGCAAACTGGAACACAAGGTTTTTTGTTTAGAAAACCATTGTTATGAACCATTTAACATGATGCAATACAAAGTGCTTTTTGGTTTCTAGCCCAAATCAAAATAATTTACCCACTTGTTACGTGTTCAAAATGATTTTCAATAATTTACTAAATGACTTTTTCCTAAATGATTGGGGAACAAAAATCTGCCTCAAAAATACCTATAATAAATTCTAAACTTTTCTCTAACTTTGAGACTCTGGCATCACTGTAGTGCAGAAAGAGAAACCCACTCGAATCATTCAACCAGCATTAGAACAGTATTTTACATGTGCAAAAGTCCAGAGCATTATTAAATCTCCTCCAAGATACAACAAATTGCAAAAGGAGCAACATTACAAAGAACTAAAATGTTTCTGTTAATATTTGGGATCGAAGGGCATGGGACCCAGCTCTATTTTGACATCTGTGAACTGCCGATTGGGGTCGCGTTCTGATTGGCTCCATTTCTTCGTTCTCTGAGGCCGAGGTCGTGGCTGCTGGTGCTTCCTCTGTCGCCTCTGACAATGACCCCATGCTTTACCCTTCGACTCTGGCACTTTGAAGGGACGACTGCAAATTTACAAACAGGAAATTGTTTAGGGTTTGACACAAAGCCCCATGCGTGTCAACATGCAGACTCTACTGTTTCTCAGACCTACAGACAGAGAAGCAAAAGAGACGAACATGGTTATGAACATGTTAAATGTAGTACAACATTCTAGTATACTAAAAGACAAGAAAGCATCCATCACTGGCTCTATTCCGGTTTCAAATGTTCACTTTTCACAATCCAACCAACCGACCCTTTGCTAAACTCCTCATAAACATTACAGGCCAGTGGCCAATTCTCCCTTAACAACTGTTGCTATCCACCATGTTATCAGAAAGGCTTTTGCATTTCTCTAATGCAAGTCTATATGGACAATCTGTGTGTTGATAATTTTAAAACAGAATTGTACAGAAATGATCTAAAAAAAAACAATAAATGTTGCTCTTTTATAGAAGTGACAATGTATCCATAGAGGACATAGTGGTTTTTTTATTATTAAAATGAAAACAGAAAATATAAAATAAAAGCTAACTCCAAAATATTAATAAATACAATTTTATATGTGAAGTACATAAAAAGGTAATACAAATAACTAACACTGGCCTTTGGATATAACTGTTGCCTTCATTCCCAAATAAACAATTACAGGGGTTGGACAAAAAAACTGAAACACCTGGTTTTACTACACAATAATTTGTTAGAATGGTGAGGGCCTCATTTTGCATCCAAATACAGCACCAATTGACAGATAGAAGTCCTTCACAGTGACCAGAGGGATTATGAGCCGTTCCTCTTCCAGAACAGTGTCCAGGTCACTATATGATGCTGGTGGACTCGCTCCTCCAAAACACCTCAATAATATTCAGATCTGGTGACTGTCAGACCATGGGAGATGTTCAACGTCACTTTCATCTTCATCAAACCCTTCTGTCACAAGTCTTGCTGTGAGTGTTGGTGCATGATCAGGCGGATACACGGTTTGAGCCTCAGGTGCTCATGATCCTCTAGAAGGGTTTGATAGTCCTCGGCAGTGTCGTGTCCATCAAATACAATCAGGATTGTCATGATATTGGAGCTCAAACCATCACTGATCCACCCATGCTTCACTCTGAAGATTGGCCGCCAGGCATATAGATGTGAAACCTCCAACATTGGCCAGTGTTTCAGTTTCATTGTCCAACCCCTGTATATAATAAGTATAAGAACACCTACATTTGCCAAACTAAAGTAGTACTACCTTAACATAATTTTATGTACTTATTAATGTAGATAATTTACTAAATGTTGATGTTTACTAAAAAAAGGTACAGTAGTTAATGCATTCATTAGAATCAACATAATCGAATAATCCATTCCTCATGGATAAAATGTCATGTGCAAATTATGGAAGTAAAGCAGAGTCATGTTTATAACTCCACTAGCTATATCTCCAAAGTTTAGTAATGAAGAAGATTATTTCAACACCACAAAATGGCTTACCTTGGCCCAAAGTATTTTAAGTACGTATCTCCAAAAATGTGCCGGTATATGTAGTCGTCCAGATCCTCAAACACATCATCACTGAGACTGTGATATTCATCCATTTCTTCAAGATAATCCTCAACGCCACTAACAAAGTCCGTAAACAGCATCTGGTCGTGGATGAAGACGCCGTTATGGAAGAAATTATTGATGAAGCTCTCCAGCTCTCTCCAGTGGTGGAAATGGCTGACTTCTTTATACAAATAACTGCGCAAAAGTTTGTTAAACTCATCCGCACGAATGGGGTCTATTGCCTTATTGAACAGACTCATCGACTCCTGATATGCACAGTCAAAAACACCTGAACAGCCTTTGAGTGGCATTTTCTGACCCATAGTAGTGTAGGCTTTCTGATTACCAGGTTTGCGTGTGTTGCGATCAGTGTGAAAGAAAGAGTCGATGGTCGATTTGCGAGGATGTCGGTGTAAAGGTTTCTGAGGCTGCCAATCTTCGGCACGTTTGTTTCCTTGCTCTTGCTGAAACGTTTGATGCTCGGGTTTCCTGGCTTGAAACCTCTTTTCATGGTTGAACACGTTTGAGGCGGACTCTTTAAAATGCCTGAACGTGGATTTAACAGAGTCAGAAAACTTCCGTAGATTTTCCTTAACCGCCTCTTTGGCCTTCTTGATCTGTTCCTTTTGATGGTGCACAAACTTTTTGGTGGAATTCTTCACAGCATCAAACGTTTCTTTCACCTGTCCTAGCATCCCATCCTTGGTCTTTACGTCCCTGTCCCCCTTGGCTCTCTCCACCTTCGACTCCACGTACAGTCTCTCCCAAAGATCAGAGCGCTGCTGCTCAAACTTCAACTTGTTTTCGAGCTCCTGAAGTTGAGCCTGCAGTTCTTCGGTCTCGGGATGTGTCTTGCCCTCAACATCCTCCTCTTTCAGACTCAATTCCTCCAGTTCCTCCTTCAGCTTGTCCGTTGTCCTCCGCTCTTTATCGAGCTCTTTCCGCAACACCTGAGCCTCTGCCACCAGTGCTTCCCTTTGGCTCATGAAGTTGCGTAATTTCTGTTTCTCCTCCTGCAAGTAGCCCTTCAGTCGCTGGTTCTCGGACAGGATTGAGTCGGTCCCGGCTCCTCTCTCCTCCAGCTCTTGGATCTGTCCCCGCAGGTACCTCAGTTCCTCCTTCAGGGCCGAGAGAGATGCCTCTTCTCGCTCGAGAGTGATTTTAAGGTCCTGGTTCTCCATGGTCAGGTCTTTTTGCCGAGATTCCATCTCACTCTTAGTCTGCGTCAGTTGCTCATATAAATCTCGTCTTTGGGCCTGTGTTTTCAAACAGGAAGCCAAACTGTTAATGTGGCAAGTCCACTAATACAACCAAGTTAACTTAAACTAAAACCATAAGTAACGTTTTTGTTACTATAAATGAAATAAAATATACAAATACAACTATTTTTTTCAGCTAGTTGTCAAGGCAACATCTCTCATTTAAATTAAGTTAAAGGGATAGTTCACCCAAAAATGGCAATTCTATCATCGTTTACTCACCCTCATGTTGTTCCAAACCTCTATGTGTTTATTTGTTCTGCTGTACACAAAGGAAGATATTTGGAAGAATGTTTTAATCAAACAGATCTCAATCCCCATTGACTACCATAGTATGTATTTTTTTTCCTACTATGGAAATCAATGGGGACTGAGATCTGTTTGATTAAAACATTCTTCCAAATATCTTCCTTTGTGTACAGCAGAACAAATAAACACATAGAGGTTTGGAACAACATGAGGGTGAGTAAATGATGAAAGAATTTTCGGTAACACTTTACAATAAGGTTCATTAGTTAACATTGGTTAATGTATTTACTAACATGCACTAACCATGAGCAATACATTTGTTACTGCATTTGTTCATCTTTGTTAATGTTAGCTCATGAAAATACAGCTGTTCATTGTTTGTTTATGTTAGTTCACGGTGCATTAACTAATGTTAACAAGATTTTAATCAAGTATTAGTAAATGTTGAAAATAACATTAATAAAGATGAACAAATGCTGTATATGTGCAATTCATTATTAGTTCATATTAACTAATGTAGTTAACTAATGTTAACTAACGAACCTTATTGTAAACTGTTACCGAATTTTCATTTTTGGGTGAACTATCCCTTTAACATTGATGTTCTAAAATAAACTAAAACTAAAATAAAGTTAATAAAACTATAGACATAAAAAAACAATAACAATAGTGTCTCAATCATACAAAAATAATACTAACAACCAGTAAAATTTGGTGAAGTTTGTAGCAGCTATACTTTTGTTTTTAGTTAAAGCAACCGTTAAAGGGCTAAAAATGAAAATTCTGTTATCATTTACTCACCCTCAAGTTGTTGCAAACCTGTATGAGTTTCTTTCTTCTGCTGAACACAAAGGAAGGTATTTTGAAGAACCATTGGAACTTTGGCACCATTGATATCCATAGTATTTCTTTTTTTCTACTATGGAAGTCAATGGTGCCAAACAACTTCTGTGTTCAGCAGAAGAAAGAAACTCATTCAGGTTTGCAACAACCTGAGGGTAAGTAAATGAGGAAAGAATTTTCATTTTTGGGTGGAGTATCCCGATAATGGAGACATATTACCTGTAGCTCTTCCAGTTTGCCTCTGAGATTCTGGTTTTCTTTAGTTATCTTGTCCATTATGCTTGTGAGGGACAGCACCATGTCTTGCTTTTCTTCTAGATTTTCTCTTAGGTTTTCAACCATGTCCTAAATGCATAGAGACAGGGCCGTGAGAATGGACATCCATTAAATTCTACTCTTCTCTTCAAAAGTTTGGGGTCGGTAAGACTGAACATGTTTTAAGGTCTCTTATGCTCACCAAGGCTGCATTTATTTGATCAAAAATACAGTAAAAACAGGAATATACACCTTTTTCATGTCAGCGCCATCTGTGATTTTTAATGAGAATGAAAGCGAGGCTGTGAGGGATAGACATGCATCTCTTCAATGGGCTGTACTGTTATTTAATGTGTTTTCATTTTGTTCTGCTCATGAAACACTGGAAAAATATCTTTCCAAGAAATTTTAGTTGACAAAAAACTCCCGACAATATAAGCTGTGGAAAATTGTAAGTAATCTAGGAGCTTTATTCAGCTTTTTACAGCGGATGCCATTGGAAACACGGTAAGTCTATCCCTCACAGCCTCACTTTCATACCTGTCATGGAGCTGCTCTGAATAAGGTCTATTGTGAAATATTATTGACATTTAAAATAACATGTTTTCTATTATAATATATTTTCAAATGTAATTTATTACTGCGATGCAACATTTTCAGCATCATTACTGCAGTCTTCAGTGTCACATGCAGAGATGTATAGTAACGAAGTAGAACTACTGTACTGAAGTAAAAGGCTGTATCTGTACTCTACTAGAGTATTGTTTTTTTTCTCCAACTTCCACTTTACTTCAGTACATATTTTCAATGAGTTTAATACTTTTACTTGGATAATTTTATGTTCTGTATCGTTACTCGTTACAACTATAAAAATGTTACGAATCATTCCAAACCCCCATTATCGTTCCCAGAGCGGTAGATTACCATCTCTGTTACTGGTTTTATTTGATGAAGTTGGCTTTTGTGCTGCTTAAATCACACACCCGTTTTATAGTGTTTTATAGGGTAATGGTATTGATTGACACAGACACTGACATAACTAATGCAGAGGTTTACCTGCACTGACATTTTTTTGGCGGCCGCCAAAGCAAATGTTTATCCCGCCAATGCACCTTATTTGAGTGGTGTGACTGGTGACTGGTGAGTGATGTAGAATAGAATGAATGACTGTTGCGCTTGACGGCACATATAGAAACGATCAGAGAGAGAGAGAGAGAGAGACCCGTCTTGCTCTCAAATCGCTCTATTTGTTAAAGGGTTAGTTCACCCAAAAATGAAAATTAAGTCATTAATTACTCACCCCCATGCTGTACCAACCCCGTAAGACCTTCGTTCATCTTTGGAACACAAATAAAGATATTTTTGATTGAATCTGAGGGCTGGATCACTCTTCCATAGACTGCATAAGGGACTGACTCTTGACGGCCCATAAAGTCATTAAAGAAAAGGTTTAAATATTCCATGTGCCTACAGCGGCTCAATTATAAGTTTATCAAGCGACGAGAATACTTTTTGTGCGGAAAAAACATAAATAACGACTTTATTCCACTATTCCATTACTTCCTTATGGGCGCATGCGCGAGAACTGAGACGAGGACGTTCTCATTCGTCTACTTCTTGTTACCGGCTGCTTACCGCTTAGGAGTATTACCGCCCCCTACCGTATAAGATGATGTGCTGATATAGCTGGAAGCGCAAAACTTTCTGTTTACAAGTAGAGGAAGATGCGCGCTGTACATACGTTTTTTAATTTGCGTATTTTCCGCACTATAAGGTGCACTTAAAAGCCTTTAATCTTCTCAAAAAACGACAGTGTTGCTTATAATCCGGAGCGCCTTATATATGGATCATCATTTTATACGGTAGGTGGCGGTAAAACTCCTAAGCGGAGCAGCCGGTAACAAGAAGTAGACGAATGAGAACGTCCTCGTCTCAGTTCTTGCGCATGCGCCCATAAGGAAGTATGGAATAGTGGAATAAAGTCGTTATTTATGTTTTTTTCGCACAAAAAGTATTCTCGTCGCTTGATAAACTTATAATTGAGCCGCTGTAGGCACATGGAATATTTAAACCTTTTCTTTAATGACTTTATGGGCCGTCAAGAGCCAGTCCTTTAGGAAGCCTATGGAGGAGTGATCCAGCTCTCAGATTCAATCAAAAATATCTTTATTTGTGTCCCGAAGATGAACGAAGGTCTTACGGGGTTGGAACAGCATGGGGGTGAGTAACTAATGACTTAATTTTCATTTTTGGGTGAACTAACCCTTTAACATAGTTAATGTACTGTGAAGTAACATGAACAAACAATGAACAGCTGTATTTTTATTAACTAAGATTAACAAAGATGAATAAATACAGTAACAAATGTTTTGTTCATGGTTAGTTCATGTTAGAGTCAAACTCAGTGTTTTTAAGGTGTTCTTTCTTATACATTCCTGTCCTTGTACTGCATGCTACAGCCAAAGGAATACGCTGCGATGGTGTATTGTTGTGTTTAATGTAGAAATTTGTTATTCTAAAAATGTACATACATTTCTTTCATAGTTTAGACTATATACTGTGACATTTATATATTTCTGAATACATTTTTAAAATATATATTCAGAACATAAAAAAAGAAGCAGGAACAAACTATATATACATTTCCTATATTGGACATTAACATCTAATAGTTTAAATCACGGCAGCAGCTTCAGGTTGGTAGTCCAAGACATTGTTATCTATCTGTACTTCCCATTTCTTCCCACCAGAGCCTCGCTTTCGATTACAAAATGGTAGCTGTGTGAAATTAGCGTTTCGTGAGTGTCCTTTAGATCAATCATTAATAATAAACAGAGCAAGTCAACTATTTGAGCTTATAAAACTTAAACTTAATTTTTTTTTTTTTTTAATGAGTGATCGTTTCACTTGATAAGACCCTTATTCATCGTCTGAAATCGTTTAAAGCCCTTTGAACAGTTTGCAGTTTGCAATGAAACTGTCTTTTGGACCTTGAACCGTTTGGTTTTTCTATATGGAGAAAAATCCTGGAATGTTTTCATCAAAAACCTTAATTTCTTTTCGACTGAAGAAAGAATGACATGGATATCTTGGATGACATGGTGGTGAGTAAATTATTAGTAAAAGTTTTTTAAAAGTGAACTAATCCTTTAAGTGTGGTGCTTAAAGAGCACTTCAACTTCTACTCAAGACACTTTTTTGATAGAGCACTTGTACTTTTACTCAAGTCCGGGTTTCTAGTACTTTATACATCTCTGGTCACATGATCCATCAGAAATCATTCTAATATTCTAAATTCTGCTCAAGAAATATTCATTATTATTATCAATGTTAAAAACATCTGTGCTGCTTCATATTTTTGTGAAAAATGATTTATTTAGTTTTTAAGGATTATTTGATGAATAGAAAGTTAAACAGAACAGCATTTATTTGAAATAGAAATAGTTTTAACTTTACAAATGTATTTACTTTCATCCTTGCTGATTAAAGGTGTTAATATCTTATATACTGATTGTCAAGAGAAAAAAAAACTAGAAAAAAACTAGGTCTGATTTAGAAAATATCCTTAATAATTAGGAAGTCAGGATATTTTACATGCAAGGTATTTAAACCTCTTTAGCTAAGGGGAAATTATTGAAGAGCAATAACAACAATACAGCCAAAGTCGTATAAATGTAGAAGTGGAAGAATAAGCGAGTAAGATAAAGGATAAAGGACACTAAATCTCAGCATACAAAGATGAACCTGAGAAGAAATTATCAGCAGGAAAGCTACAGGATGATGAAAGCTGAAACAAAGTTCACCAATGAGACAAATAGGAGAAAACAAAAAAACACAGAGAGGTGTAATCAATGTAATCCAAACTAGTAAATACATTTTGATCATCACTATTCAGAAGCCATGAATATCAGCTTAAGTCTGCTGATGTGTGATTATTTTCTTCTTTTAAAGGGTTTTGGCTACTTTTACTCTCTTATGGAAGTAAAATAACGATAAACTGGCTGCTTGCCTGTATATAGTATGCTTCATCAATAAGGTGTACACTGACTGAGTTTTGTCTTTTTACATCGCTGGTAGACCAGTAAGCCAGTGTTTTAACGTTAAGTTTTTAAAATGCCCTGCATACTGTATATACTGGCCCTGATAATCACAACATACTGCTTGCTCCATTTCTAAATGAGTTTTTGTTGAATGAATGAATGAATGAATGAATGAATGAATGAATGAATGAATGAATGAATGGCTCTAGCTAATGCTTTGGTTCTCGCCAGCACCCGCTTGCACCTCCTGCTGGTTAAGCCTAGTTCACACTACATGATTTTAAAACGTCAAGCTGAACTGTGCGGTTCACACTACAAAACTTGCTCTCAGTGAAATCAAGAGTGTTCAAGTTTTTAGCTGTTCACACCACACAACACAACGTGATTGATCCACAACAGGAGGTAACTCACTACACGAGTTGACAACGCACTACATAGAGATACAACCACGATCGGATGATAAGAGCAAATCATTTGTGACTCAATGAGAGCTAGTACTATGCTACGGTCTAAATCCTGAAAATAATCAAATAAATAACGAGTTGACAACAACTCTGTCACTCAACGATTTTATCTTGTCTACAAACCACGTTTTGTCACGAAAAAACACGCAGTTAATAAATAAATATTGTGCCAATTATACCCAGCGAAGAAGAGAACACAACACGTGAATATGGACTTCAGACAGAAACTAGTGCTGCACACTGTTTGCGCGACGATCTTCTCTGAGGAAAAAAATGCAAAAAAAAAAAAGAGAAGATTTACCTGGTGTCCTCAACCCATGCGTTGCTATGATTGGCTGTACTCATGACATCACTGAGATTGAGTCGCGCGACGGCTCTGGATATCTAGCAGGCTAGATATTTTTCTGGGCTCGGCGACGAGTCTGTGAGGCATCTGCGAGCGTTTTCGCTGCGTTGTTGGCTCTTTCATACTAACAGATTGGCAAGCGTTCATCGTCCGCTAATCCCCCGCGATTTGCACGCGATAACACCCTGACCTGTCGGCGACTCAACGATTTGCACATCGGGCATAAATCGGGCTTAAAATCCTGTAGTGTGAACTTGGCATTAGGTGACTAACGGCAGATTAAGCAGCGGTACTCTACTGCTATTCCTGCAGTTCCCAAATGTGCAAAGTGGAATATTCAGCCGAATTTGTACCACCAATTTGTGAATTTGTAAAGTGAAATAAAATGGAATGATAATTGGCTGTTGAAAATTATACAGTAGGTGTTACTTTTAAACATACTGAATATTTTTTTAATTAAGCTGATGAAACCATGTTGAATAGGCTTTATGCACAGCTGCACTACTTCCTAACTTCAGCCAGCTCCTTGTTTCCTGTCTGCCATTATTGGCCAAATTGTTTAATGGGCTCTATGCACGGCGTTATTTCCGGTGAAGCATTAGGGATGCTCGATAACTTCCGCCGATCGTAGAGTCCAATGCAATACCGAGAATTTATATTGAATTTTATACTCCATGGTTATACTAATGAAACGTTAGTCACAAAAACAGATAAAACAGACACCCCTCGTTGTGTTTATGCTTCTTTTTAAAATTATATTAAATAAACATAACTATATATAAAATTACATCTAAACGTATGTACGTTTCGTTTCAAAGACGGGAGGACAGTAAATATTGAAGACTCTGCCATAATCCCGTTTTCTCCGGTTTTCCTCCGCTTTAATCTACACAACCGGAAATGGACGAGCATCCTTACGTCAAATGCGGAACTTATGCGTGCATATAGCCCATTCAGGTGTGCCTGACCTCAGTAGTCACAGCAACAATAATAAGACACACCTGAATTAATCAATTTGGCCAATAATGGCAGACAGGAAACAAGGAGCTGGCTCAGTTCAGGAAGTTGTGCAGCTGTACATAAAGCCAATTCCAGCCCCCCAAAATGCTAGCCCTGAAAATAGTACAATGCAATGAATTGCAAGCACTGTTAAAGCAATGCATTTTTTTATTACTGCAATGCAATGTTTTCTTTCAAAGACATTTGTCATTATTTAACTTCCATGATCTCTAAGATGAAACAAGTCTTTGAATCTATTAACAGCTTTCAAATCTGCAGTCTTTCTCAGGCTCAGTGAGCGGACTGTGACAGACAGGACTTACTTACAATGGCCAGTTCTCTCTTGGACGGCACTTCCAGCTCATTCATGCGGCTCTTTTCCACAATCCTCAGCCTCTCCTGAACCTGCATTGTGCCTGGAACACACACACATTCTGATATGAATACTGTCTATAATGTACATATATCAGCAACATTTAACTGGTAGCTTTTTCCCACAACCAGGGTTGAGGTTCAGTAGGAAAAATTACAATCTGGACATGCTGTTTTGTATAATATACCGGTAATCTGTATAATACAAATCTCATGCAAACTTCATTGCTATATGTTGATTAATAGAACACTGTTAGGACTAAGACCAGTTCATCTTCAAAATATTTAGCTAAACCAACCTTGTAATGTTTAAACATTAAACCCTAAAAGTATTCTTCGCAATGTTGCTAGAAGAAAAAGCTATTATGGTCGTTCTGATTTTAATTTTGCCGCCCCTACAAACTGGAAAAATTTGGTCTAAAAGGGTTGTCCCTATTCTCTTAATGAGTAATGGGTGTGTTTTGGGCATAACGTACATTAAACCAATCAGAGTTTCATCTTATATTCCCTTTACGCTTACGCCATGGAGGATTCGCTATGTACATAGCGGAATTTGCAAGTGGAAAAACTGAACACTTCTCTAGCGAGGAAACAGATCTATGGGAAAAAAGTGAACGCACGTTGTGGACCCACCTATAGAAGCATATTACTAACGTGCTCTTTATATATAAAAAATTGTCAGTTGCCTCAAAATAGCAATGCGCCTAAACACACCTTGTTTTCAGACCAGCACGCCCATGGGCGCACAAATGCATTTGCTATTTAAACGTAGCGTAGGACGTGAAAATGATAACTGCGTCGTGCTGAAAGTAGCATAATACACTTGCATATTGCGCAGGGTATATTATAGGGCCTCATCACAGGATAACCAATGACGACAGAGTAGAACTGTTTCAGCTGCTCCTGTGGCAGGTTGAATTGCCTGGCAAAGAAAGTACAACCTCTACTGGCCTTTTTTCACTTCTTTTATCATTTATTAATAAAAACAAACTTCATTCGAATGCTGTCTATAGGCAACACCAACTCGTGGCCATTAGAAATAGGCCAAGATGTCGTTACCTCAACAAAATGATCTTATGGCCATGACTTATTATCACAAGTTAATATGTCATGGTCATGGCAAAACTAAGTAAACCGCACAGGTCCACTCCCGGTCACTGTACTAGATACCTCATTATCCGAATTGTTGCATTTTTTAGAATGCACATTAGCTTATTTTTCATCAAATGGTTCAAATTTACAACATCGCATAAAAAATCGATCAGATTTATGCTGAGGTGAGATGAAAAGGAAATACCATCGAAACGTTCCTGAAGACAGACATTGCTATAAATTTGTTCAGACATTAATTAATATAATGTCCCTCAGCACTACTATAAAGGTTGTAAAATTGGCATCAGGATAACTTGGCACTGGAGGGCCACTGCAGAGCTCCAACCATGGTCAAACTCACCTGACTGAAGCCCTCAAGCAAAGCTGATTTAAGGCAAGCCTAAAGGTTAGCAAAAAATAGTGTAACGCTACAATACGCAGGGAAGGAGACAAGAAGTTGTTTTTTAATGGATGTCAATGGAGGAGAGGCTTCACTATGCTGAATAGACTGTTTATATAATGAATGGACAGCCTCTCAACTAATCTTCAATATGTTTACTGTTAAAATATTAATTTTGGATTGACCTATTTTTAGACTTTACACCGAAAAAATTATGTTTTATAAGAGAAGTCATGGACAACTGCGCGACAGGTAGGATTTATTTTACAGCCCTTCTATTCACTTAATTCATTTCTATGGTATCCACAAATGGTGATTGACTGTTGAACATCTCTGAACGAAATTCAATGACGTCAAGGGCAGGCTGTAATGTGATTGGTTATCAAGGTACAAGTGATCCAAGTTGGCCATTATGCTTTCACCAATGGTAAAGCTACAGACCCTTGTATCTCCCAATAACAAAACCATCTCTGCTCCTAGTAATTCTGAAGACATTGATGAGCTGGCTCAGGTGTGTTTGATTAGGGCTGGAACTAAACTCCGCAGTACAGTGGCTCACCAGGACTCAGTTTGCCCATCCCTGCTGTAAAACCCCACCTTGTTTTCACACAAAACAAAATGCATGCTACGTTGCATGCTGCACCTGTACAAGACTGCTTCTAATAGGGCTGGGGTAAACGATTATTAACTAAACGATTAGTTGGGCGATTATTTTATCGATTAGTCGACTAATCTAATGACTAATTGGACGACTAATATAAAGAATACTTTTTCTGCTGCTCAATTAATAAAATAACAATATCTCAAATAAATACTAGCATACTGAATCAAGATACTATAAGCTGGCTAACATTAGTCTAATGTTATGTATTTGAACACCATCATAACTCTACAACCGCCAAAACCGTGTTATTAAAATATTTTTTACAAACATTTTTTATTATAGAGAATGTTTAAATATTAATATCAGCTGAGGAGGGAAACGGAGTCGGAGGCGGAGTTCACCTACTGATCAGAGCGCGTGCTGACACGGAGTTAAAGCCTGGTTTATACTCGACACGTCCGCACGAGCGCGAATGTGCGCACGGCAAAAATGACCCGTTGGGTGCGCAAGACCAGGAAGACTGTGGCTGGCTGTGTGTATGCCTTTTTTTGTAACAACGCGCCCGGCGCCGCGTCCGGGAACGACTTCAAGCCGAATCTGCCCGAGCTTGTACGTTTCACCACACCGGCACCCAGTTTGCGCGTCTAAATTGCAATTTTTTTTCTTAAGGGTTTGTTTACTGTGTGTGATTCATTTAATGGATAGCACATTCACTTCTAGTTGTTTTCGTCCTCTATTCTGCAATGTTTCGGTCTCCCACGTGTGTGTGGCAAGCTGTACCGCCGGGAACATGCAAAAAATAAATAAATAAAGAAGCGTCGACGCAAAAATATGACGTCGACGCAATTTTGACGTCGAATCATCGACGTCATCGACGCGCCGCTACAGCACTAGCTTCTAACTTAATGTTGGACAGTATTTGCCACCAACAGTCTTTAAAATCAAATAAGGTTTTTATGATATTAAAATGAAAATGAATTAAAGTATAAAATGGTAACAGCCTCGTAAGCTCTGCTCACCGTAGAAGTGCCCGAAGCCCATGCTGGTGGCGATGAGCAACGCTAACAGGATGCATTTGTTCAGAGTGCCGCTGACATGACCTTGATCTTGCGGAGCAGTGCGGCCATCCGGATGGGCTTGTATATCTTCAACAACCTGATATAGAATCAAACATGCATAATTTCAGTACATGGCATGGACAGTGTTTTGTTGTTGTTGTTGAGATGTCTGGCTAAGATAAATGTGATTTTGTGAAAAATGCAACAACGATTAAAGGAAGTCAATGTTTCATCAGTTAGAAGAATTAAGGGTGTAACGGTTCTTGGTACAAAAATCCAACCGTACATTTCTCCTTTGAGTTAGTCTCAATCTGTCAACACATCTATTTTATGGTTTGGTGAAAATCAACATTGCATAAAACAGTGTTCAGCTAATGTATGGTTCCGATGGATATGCTCCGTGTGTGTTTCGTGACCCTTTGACGCATATGATCACACCTGTGTGATTAGAGCGTTCATTGCATCACCTGCAGAGGGGGAAAGAGTACTAAAATATTCTACTCAAGTAAAAGAACTATTACTTCAATACGATGTTACTTAACTACAAGTAAATGTGCCTGTCTAAAAATCTAGGTAAAAGTAGTTCATTTAAAATTGTTTCAGAGTAAAAGTTGCTGAGTTACTTGTTGAACAGCGGGGGTGGGGTGGGGGACTCTCCCATTTAGGTCTGTAACGGTATGAGAGTTTCACATTATGATAACTGTCTCAGAAAATATCACGGTTCCATAACTCCATCAAGGTCAGCTAGGAACCTTGGGGTTGAAATTGATGATCAATTAGGGTTGGGCGATCTCTACCAATTTGGGATCAGATGATGTCTATAGTGAAACATCGCGATGGACGATGATATCGGGAGGGAGTTGGGGGTTGGGGTATTTTCGTAATATTCTCATTTTCCACTACATATTTTCCTCTATATCTTATCAGCAATTTCGAATTCGGCACGCTCTACAGCAGCTAAGCACAGAGCGAGTCTATGGAGTGAATGTATAGTGACATAACTGCCAGATTCAAACTGCGTGCTTGTGCTATGGCTGGCGCTGAGCCAAAGATGGACGCGCGCAGCGCTTGTCATAGGCTATATCACAACTGTTCAGTGTTTTTAATCACATAATATTTATTTTAGGTTTCGGACATTTAAATATATATAATATATTATAGCAAAACAATACTTTTTTAGTTTGTAAAATACACAATGGTGTCTATAGAAGCAGAAATAACAACCCATTCAAATATTTGACGACGGTTTTTATTCATATCAGAGAGACACTGTGTAAATAATTATAAAGTCAACTCTATTTTTCTCGGCCACTTTCATGTGTTTCGGGAGAAACTGATGAATTTCCGCACTGTAATAAATCCAACAGACAGAAATATCTGAACTGCGGCCCAAACACTGCGCTGATCTCACGTTACAGATAAAGATCTTTTTCTTTCTTTTTTTTTAAACGACAAAACAAACTCACTTACACATTTGAGAATCGGAATATGAGAATGGTAAACAAGTTCATATTTTGAAATAAAAGCGCTAACTTAAATCTGCAATAGAGCGCTATTTTGGCTGTGGTGAATCACGTGCCAACAAAGCATAACGCGTCACCATGGAAAGGGGGGGGCGATGTTTAACCCGTGATGTCTGTCAGCCATCTGTCAGCCCAACCCTATGATCAATTGAACGTCACAGACCACATTGCTAGAACTGCCCGGTCCTGCAGATTTGCCTTGCACAACATTAGGAAGATCAGGCCCTTCCTAACAGAGCATGCTACACAACTCCTTGTCCAAGTGCTTATTCTATCCAGACTGGACTATTGGCTCTCTGGCTCTCCTGGCTGGTCTTCCAGCTTGCTCTGTCAAACCTCAACAACTGATCCAGAATGCTGCAGAACAGAGCATTCTTTTAATGAGCCGAAGAGAGCACACGTCACTCCTCTTCTCACAAAATTGCACTGGTTGCCAGTTGCTGCTCACATTAAGTTCAAGTCACTGACATTCGCCAACAGAACACGCAAACAGCACACGAAACAGGCATTCTCGTTATGAGAAGTATGAGAAAGTTGCCCTCCGCCGTTTATGTACGTTCCAGCGGCCAATAGGGCGTCTATGTATTTATTATGTCTATGACTTTGGTACCCAACCCAAGTCGCCGCCCAATACAATTGTCGCGTTTAGACACGTGATTCAGACACCGGTCATGCTGAGGTGTTCCCCATTAGTGTCCTAGGACGCAGCACTGTGTCTAGATCCACTTCTCAGGGAACCAAGGTTACACTTGAAGAGTTCAGATGCAAAAGCCTCTAAATGCCATTTGAAATTTTCTTCTTTAATGATGATTTTTATCAAAGTTGTATATTTAAGTTCAGTAATTTCACTTAAATAACAATTAATAGGTAATTATCATTGCCATTTAAGTGAAATCACTGAACTTAAATATACAAGCTTGATAAAAATGATCATTCTAGAAGAAAATTTTAAATGGCACTTAGGGGCTTTTGCATCTGAACTCTTCACTTGTTACCAGAGATGGTTTGCTTTATCGTTTTCCAGCAAAAGCATGTTTATAAATTTATATCCATCATGTAGTTTATGGATCTAGCTCACAAAGAAATGTTTCTGTGACCATGATAGATATAGATGTATAATTTCCAGCTACATTTCCAGCTAACTAAAAAGTATTTGTAAAAATATAAAAAGTAAAACTGGTATAATTTATAGTATCAAGTATTATACAGCATTATGGAGTAACACGTTGTTGTTGTTGTGTTGATCAGCACCTCCTGTCTCCTGTGGGGCTCCTGCGGATCTCCAGGCTCTGAGCCGGTGGTGCTCCTCCTTACTCTGCGTCTCCTTACCACAGGGCTTGCCTTCATCTCATCCTCCTCTTCCTCACTGCTGCTGGTATTACCGTCTCGCTGCACAAGCTGATCCACTGGGAAAACTGTGTACAGACAAAAACACACACAACCCAGAGGAATCAATATCTATTGTTCTTAAATAAAGCCAATTATAATTACCTCTGGTGTGGTGTGGCATCAAGAAATGAATAATAAAATAAAAATAAAAGCAATACATAAAAAAATACATTTAAAAAATATGAAACAAAATAGCAATAAATAAAACTAGACAGACTGATAGACATAGACAGACAGATATCATATTATCAAGAACTGGGATAAAAGTTTATAGTTTGGATATAAACATGATGGAAATATAAACATGATGTCTATGGATTTCAAAATGGACTAAATCACCTTTTGAAACTAACATGGCTACATCAAGTGTAAAAATGTATTTGTCATTAAATCATTCATTCAAGATATTTGTTCAAAAATGATACACTCACATCATGATTCCATACTATCAAAATATTTTAAGCCAAAATAAAAAAGTTTTTTTTATTATTATTATTAAAAAATATGATTACATCTAATACATAATAAACAAGTGAACAAAAAAATGCACAGTTGATTAAAACACGGTTTATATTCAATGCAGGCCTACACTAGCCTGGCATGCCAGACATGCATCAAGATGTTAGGTCTGGGAACTCATCATTGACAGGGCTCAATCCAAGGGGCGGGATAAATGGTTGTCTTTCAAATTCTCTCTGCACGCAATTGGATAGTGCTACAACCAATCAGAGCAACGAAGGAGGTGATGTAGTCAGAGCGTATCCAGTAGGTAAAACTCCGAACACATCTTTTTTTTTTTTTTTTTTTTTTTTTTTTAAATGACTCAAGTGCCGTTCTTTGTTCTGGTTTCAAAGAAAAGCTTAAGTTCAAATCATCCAGAGTAGCGGTCAAAAGCCGAATCGAAAGCCATTCTTTGTTTTTAAGTAGCAGTGAACCGTCGCAACTCTGTCGTCATTATGTTAAGCCCGCCCACCGACTCTATACACAATGTGATTGGCCTGACCAGAGTTTGTTTTTTTCAGCAAAAAAATCTATGGAAAGTTGCTAGACTAGCCTGACTTCGTCATACCTACTTTTTAGGGACCAATTAAACACATGTTTTCTGACAAATGTCAATGAAATTTGTTTGAACATAATGCAAAGTGCAGAACAGTGAATCCTGTCACAAATTTTTTCACACACACGACAAACACGTGCTAGCAGAACACATGCTTCCAAAACACATCCCGCATACCATAATGCAGTGCAGAAAAAGTTAACAGACCTGTTTACACCACAGTAACAAGCTAATCGACTAAAACAGCACATGACTTGTGCTCCAAAAATACAGCTGCAGGCCTAAAGCTGTTGTGACTGTCTCCGTTGTATTTGTTGTTATGCTTAAACAGCTATTGCATCAATATTAGGAGAAATAATTCATACAGAAGAAAGAAATGATTTAAGCATACTGGAAACACAGCTGAAGGAACCAACATTCTATAAATACTAATGAATATTAACAACATCTCTCCACAACACACAATTTGAGGAATCCTTCATCTCTGAAGCACAAATAACCTAGAATACTGTCTAACATTTGATGACTGCTCTTGTCAAGTGTTCATCGTCAGTTAGGGCCCTGGGGGTGCTCTTTTGGCTCGTTTCCACTGAGTGGTACGGTACGGTACAGTTCGGTTTGGTACGCAATTATTTGCGTTTCCACTGTCAAAAGTTGTGAATGGTACCAAAAAGCCGAACCATAGCGTTCCACTTTTTGGATACCCTTCCATTGGGGTACCTAGCACAGTGAAAGGGTACTAAAAGGTGGAGCTAGACTCACTGCAGAACGGTGATTGGTGGACAGAGTATCGTCACTCGCGCGTGCTACAAGGGCATTAGAAGCATATGGCGCTTTTCCACTGCATAGTACGGTACGGTTCGGCTCAGTACGCTTCGACTCGGCGCGGAACAGTTCGGCTCGCTTTGCGTTTCCATTGCAGTAGTACCCCTTCAAAGTGTGTGGGACTGATCGTTATATGCGCGCGCCTCTACTGCCATGACATCATCTTAAAAGCGCCACATTTTCAAACCCACAACACAGGAACAATGGAGACTATCGAGGGGATGGTGTTCCTGATTCTCGGTATGTGGTTGTTTTTAACTGCTAGACGGAAAAATGTGTTTAAAATGAGGCTGATGGCAGCAAAACAAAAATACTGCTAAAAAAGTGTCTCGTGTCGCAAATCCAATGACGCTAGTAGTGACGCTGGTAGTGACGATTCTGTCTGACCAATCAGTGATCTGCAGTGTTTCACGTCACATTTTAGTACCGGTACGGTACGCTTGGAACCTCAACAGACCAGGTACCATTTAAAGCGACCTGAAGCGAACCGTACTGTACCGTACCATGCAGTGGAAAAGCACCACAAGTGAGCCGTACCGAACCGAACCGTACCATACTATGCAGTGGAAAAGCGCCAATACAGTTGAAATTTAATTCTACTGTTATTGTGTCACGAAATGTAGTTTTAAGAGTTTTTCAGGCGAGAAAGTAGTTTTTTAAAGCTCAAATCTGTGGTTTATTTATAGATTTATGATAATTTGACTGAGATCCATTTCAAGCGATCACCGGACGCTCGCGCTTGTGTCCCCCGCCTGGAACAGCCTTTCGTCGGCTAGTCGTTCTGATGTTTGCCGCTGACTCGGACGTGTCTGTAGTGGTTAAACATGAGATATAGTTCGTCTTGTATAAACCTAACAGGTGATCTTTGGTCTCGTGAATCTATAATTCGTTCCCTGGCCAATAGATTTTGCAGAAGGCTAAGTGAAGTTTCATATCATTTGAGTGCTGAATTTGTATTTTTGACTAACTGAATTGTTTCTTGATGTTATTTAAGCTTTACTGTATATCTTTTTGTACCTTTTACTTATACTTTTATAATGGCTTTTATTGATACAACTGAAATTCAACAAAAAGAGATAGTTTTGTCTTTTCTTTTCATTTTGTTACAAGGTCATCTGTAATGTTGTTTATTGCAACATTTGTACCCATGCGATATGCAATACATTACATTACATACTGCCTGGAATATGTTTCATATTTTTAAATTTAAACGAAAAGAGGCAGGGTTGTTTTATATTTAGTTTTGTTATGAATATAACGTTGAATATAATCAATAGGCTATGCGTTGCCTGAACCACATTTGTGTGCTTTAGAATGTTTAAAATGTATTGAAATGAAATCGAAAAGAAGCAGAGTGGTATTTTATAACATATTTCGTTTTATTGTTGCCTAAAATGAACATACAGAGATAACCGGAGTCGCAGAGCCAGAGCGAGCTGCGTGCCGCGTTCAAGAACGCGCTGTTACATTAGCAGAATTACTGGACTCGCGTCCGATCGGGATCATTCTCCTGAGTCGGACTTTGCGTTGGCTTCTTGGAAACGCCTAATGCCAGCGCTTGTTTCTAGTGACAAACATGCCGAGAAGCAAGAACAAGATCTGCTGTCTGTCTGTCGTCCATTGTTGTTTACTATGTCGCTTTCTTCGCGCGAAAATGACGTCGATCGTTTCTTTCCAGCATACCACACCTATCAAGTAAGGGTACTGTTGGCGGTGGAAACGCAAGCCTGATCATGGTGTACCCGACCCGTACTGTACTGTACCGTACCGTACCATACCGTACCCCTCAGTGGAAACGAGCCATTTGATACCAATTTTTCATTTGAAACCCATGTTTCAAGCATCTGTAAAGCCATGTTTTTTCCATCTTAAAAATGTATATAAATTACGAAACATGCTCCCAATGACAAATGCAGAAAGTTACTTCATGCATTCATGACCTCAAAGCAAGATTATTGTAATGTTCTGCTGGGTGGCTGCCCTGTACTCTTAATAAACAAACTCCAGCTGAGAACTTCGAACTTCACTAGAACCAGGAACTATGACCATATCAGCCTGGTTCTGTCAACACTGCATTGGCTCCCTATTACACACTGCATGCATTTTAAAATCTTGCTAATTACTTACAAAACACTAAATGGTTTAGCTCCCCAGAACTTGAATGAGGTCTAAACGCATTATAGTCCTTCACTTCTATTGCAATCTCAAAATTATGGCCAGTTGATAATACCTAGAGAGTATCAAAATCAACTTCCGATGTACTTGATATATCGTAAAAAGAATGGCATCTCTGCTAATATTAGTCTGTCTTACCCTTATCCCAAGGTCTGATGTAAATCAGATTGTGGACCTGCACCTAGACACATCCAACACATAGCCTAAAACACATTTTTTGCTAAATTAATTAAATAAATGATGACCTTTACAACAGAACTGAATCAACACTGAACTGACTTCAGCTGAACAACAGCTGGAATGCATAATTGTCCTGTTGACAAATTCTGACAACTAATTAGCTCACTATCTAGTCAACTCAAGACATGGAATTGGGACATGTAACAGCACACAGCAATGTAGGTCAAAAAAAAAAACATATTACTGTGGCTTTTTCCACACACTTTACGCCGGTTATCTCTACTCGCAGCTATTGGCTGGGCGTTTCATCAGTCAGGTTAATGTGGCTGAACCTATTTTTGCCACATCTCTTAACTCACTCACAAACACACTCGCTGTCCTCAGAGCTTTATTAGCATGCAGATCACAACATGCTCACACTCCCATGGCAGAGCACCTGAGAAAGAGAGAGAGCTGTGAAGCTGGCTGCCATATTCCCACAGTGTCCTGGAAAATCCCCATCCACTCCAACACCAGTCTGCTGCCACTCAGGAGAAAGAGGAACATTTCAACAAGGGTGAATGTCATGAAAACTGTTAAAAAAAATGTGTGGGTCATACTTAATCAGAAAATATTTATATACACAGCATAAAGTATAGTATAGCATATATAAAAAAGCCTATTTTAGGATCATTACGAAATTTTGCATTGTGACATTATTTTCATTAAAATTAGGAATTATAATTAATTATATTATTAAAATTAAGAAATTAAGCATTACATTTACATTACATTTAATTTTAACATTTACATATATGCATTACAAAATATAATTTCTGATTATGAAATTTGACCTGGACATTTCTTTTTGAGATGCATCCATAAAATAAATATCATGGACACAAAAAGATCTAAACACTAAGAATTCCAGGGATTCTAGGAAAAAAAATTCCAAACTGCTCAGGAATTCACCCAGTTTTTTCAGGCTAACTGAAAATGATAGATGGGTGACAGATGTTAGAGGTTCCTCTTTCCAACTTCGCACAGTCGGAAATCGTAATTACAATGCATTGTTTAAGTGATTTGATACATTCGTGTTAGATACATTCCACTGATCTATATAGATCAGTGATGCAATCATTGTTCTTTCTCTCTTTTTCACTTATTGACAAATACAGGATGCTTAGTGCAACAAAATTAAGAGCAAATTATTCACATTACACGTGTAATTGATGCATATTTTATCTTCCTCAAACTACCAAAGAGAATGATGGGAAGTATAGTCTTTCTTATAAATGGGCCAAGTAGTTAAAATAAAAACTAAAAAGCTCCAGATTTGGTGTACTTTTTTATATGGATGGACAATTTTTGCCAAAATATTTCTGAACATAGAGCATATCAATAATAATAATAATTATTATTATTATTATAAATAAACAAAAAATATTAAACAAAATAAGAAATATTAATTATGTTATTTCATCATATGCCTCAAGCTACTCTGAGACACTGAAAACACTAGATCATGAGCTGTTTGTGTATAAAAAAAAAACACATGAGAACCATTGCAACGACAGCAACTCTACAGCAATATCAGTAAGAAATTAGGGCAGTGCGATTGAGTGCATTTCTTTCTATCATAGCTGTGCGCTTTTATTCCTACCAAATCAGCTAAATCAATGATTGTCATAAAATGCAGTCTATCGTTGCTTAACTGGAAGACGTGAAGAAGAGTTATTAAAACTTCCATTAAGCCACGAAAGAGATCTGTTCTCCATGCAGATTTCTGTGCGCACTCTGAGAGGAGCGGAACTCATGGAAAAGTAATGTGAGCTTTGACCTTCGGGTTCACGCCTAAGCAGTTAAATATACAGACATGTCAAAATGCCTGGATTAGAGAGTCATTGCATAAATGCAGTCGGTTATGTCTTAGGTTAACAGAAACAGTTGGGAAATTTTTAAATGTTTAATGAAAATTATTAACAGTATATTGGATCTGTGCATTCTGTCTTAAAGTAACAGGAGCTTAATATACAGCTTCTGTATATTATAAAACAACAAAAGACAAAGGGGAAAAATGCATTGCTCTTTAGTGGATTTAGACAGATAGTTCAGTAACACTTTACAATAAGATTTCATTCATTAACATTAGTTGTTAAAGTTAGGTAATAAAATACAGTTGTTCATTGTTTGTTCATGTTACTTCACAGTGCATTAACTAAGCTGTTCCTAATCATAAAGTCATGGTCAAAATTGATGGCACCCCTGGTAAATATGATCAAAACTGGCTGTAAAAAATACATCTGCATTGTTTATCCTTTTGATCTTTCATTCACAAAATTCACAAAAATCTAAAATTTCATTGATGTAAAAGAATTGAAAGTGGGGGTAAATCACATTATGAAATAAATGTTTTTCTTCAAAACATGCTGGCCATAATTATTGGCACCCTGCCATTAAATACTTTTTGCAATCTCCTTTTGCCAAGATACCAGCTTTGAGTCTTCTCCTATAATGCCTGATGAATTTGGAGAACACCTGACAAGAGATCAGAGACCATTCCTCCATACAGACTCTCTCCAGATCCTTCAGATTCACAAGTTCATGTTGGTGCTTCTTCTCTTCAGTTCAGACCACTCATTTTCTATATGGTTCAGGTCAGGGAACTGGGACGGTCATGGCAGAAGCTTCATTTTGTAATCAGTTACACATTTTTGTGTTGATTTTGATGTTTGTTTTGGATCGTTGTCCTGATGGAAGATCCAACCACGGCCCATTATAAGATTTCTAGCAGAAGGCGTCAGGTTTTAATTTTTATCTGTTTGTATTTGATAGAATCCATAATACCATGTATCTGAACAAGATGTCCAGGACCTCCAGCAAATAAATAGGCCCACAGCATATCATATATCATATTCAGCAGTATATTTAACTGTAGGCATGGGGTACTCTTCATCCCTGTTTGCACCAAACACATCTGCTGGGTTTGATGGTCAAAATGGGGATTTTCTATTCTTTAGATATTTTCTTACAGCCACTTTGTATTTTGTGAAGCTCAACAATCTTTTGCTGCACATCAGAACTATATTCTTTGGTTTTACACATTGTGATGGATGATTAAGGGAATTTGGCCTTTGTGTTTCCTCATATTTAAACTCCTGTGAAACAAGAAGTCATGGCTGGAAAATTTCATATTCCTAGTCACCCTGGTTATTAATGGGAATGTACTTCAGAGATATTTTTCTCATAAAAAATTCTAGGGGTGCCAACAATTATGGCCAGCGTGTTTTGGAGAAAAACATTTATTTCATAATGTGATTTACCCCCACTTTCAATTCTTTTACTTCAATGAAAGGTTAGAATTTTGCCAGTTTTTTTAACGGAAGATCAAAAGGATAAACAATACGGATTTATTTTTTTTTTACTGCCAGTTTTGATCATATTTACCAGGGGTGCCGTCAATTTTGACCATGACTGTATTCATTCTAGGAGAAGGAATGAAATATGTGACAAATGTTGCTTGACAATAAATAAAGAGTTGCCCATACATGATTCATTTTTATCTCTTAAAGGTGCTATATGTAATTTCTTTGACTGTACTAAAGCATAGAAATACCACAATATGTTTACAGATGTTCGGAAAAAATGCTGCTCACAAACTAGTTTTTTAGAAAAACAATGCTAAAGCCTAGTGTTGTAGTCAAGACCACCTAACCAGAGACCTAGACAAGACCATGACCAGAGTCTATCGAGACCGAGACAAAACCAAGACTTTTAGGGGCCGAGACCAAGACAAGACCAAGACCGAGTCAAGACCAAGACCAGCGCCCTACACTAAATGACAAAATAAAATGTGAAACAAGATAAAAAGAGCTTCTCAAATTGATCTGAAAGATCCACATTCCCATAAAAACACAGATATAACACTCGAAGCTGAAATAAACTTCACCATCTTTATTCAATACTCTTGGGTGACTTCCATCATTTAGTACAGAATATAAAACGAGTCTTCACTTTTCTCCGTCTTTTATTAACAATACATAAAGTTATGTTGTTTTTAAACCAACAACATTCTTTTTTTTTCAAAACCACGTAGCTAAATGTGAAAAAAATGCATGTGATTTATAAAAGTACAAAATTGATTTAATTGGGAGCAGTTTCATCATATGCCAAACCTTAACATACTGAAGTGTCAAAAACTCTTCATAAATTCAAGCTCCCTGCCAGTGGATAAACAGTAAACACAGTATTCATTTTGTTATATGTCATGTAATATCTAACAAAGTCTGTTACGATAATAATAATAATAATAATAATAATAATAAAGCTTTTGAGGACAGTTACACTGTATTGAGACAGTTGAGAAATAGTAGGCCAAATATTTTTAGTTTTCAACAATAGGCTTGTTGAAGCCTTGCTCTTATGTTTCTCAGTTTTGTCATAATTTTAACAAATAATTTCTTTTATATGTTTTGAGAGTTTTAAGACTGTTAAAATTTTTTTTTATTTAAGTAGGCATCTATTTTTTTTATTAAGTATTAATTTTGTTGTAGCCTAATACATAAACTAAGTGTATTCATTCATAATGTATCATTATTGCGTGACATTTGTGTCAATAATCGTCAAACACAGGTGACTCCGCATCGTGGGAGGGGCCCCCAAATCAAATTCTGCTTAGGGCCCCCAAAAGGCTCGGGCCGGCTCTGGATAAACACATTTTATTTTGTCAATTTATTTTGATTACTATGTGCCAGGGAGAGAGAGCAAAACAGCGCATAGGAGAAGGTAAAGCTTTTTATACATTCGCCTGGCTCCGCAGAGAGATTTCTTCTGATGCGCCCCGTCACACTCGCAGCAGTTCGTCTACATTACTCATCTATCAAATAAGGGCCCTTTTACACTTACCTTGTTTGGTCCGGACTTTCGGACTTTTCAGTTTGGTCCGAATCACGGTCCGGACCAAACAGATGAAATTTGGTCAGACGAAAAGAGGTAGTCATTACATGCATTGTAGGGCTGGGCAAAAAAATCTATTTTTCGATTAATCGTTTTTTAAAATGTGTTCGATTCAAAATCGATTCTCAACGGCCGGAATCGATTTTTTCCATATAAAGGGCTCGCGGACGCGGTGCTGCATCTTCTCGTCTCTCTGCACTAGGCAAGCGCTGCAGCTGTCGATACACACACGCGTTTAGGAGTCAGGACATGACGGATTATTCACTTAACAATCGGGCCAGCATTGCATCGTGACCTATGATCGTAACTAACGTTTATCATTTTCACGTCTTTTTGAGTTTTACAAGCAATGTTAAACCATCCCGTGCTCGCGCACTCTCAGAGATGTCTTTCACTGCGTGCACAACGTTACAGCCTAAATCTGCCTCACAAACAGCTCACCAGAAACAAAAGTTTTATCCCTGGATTATATCACTTTAACAGTTAAAACACGCGACATTATGTCAAAACTCTGGTCTTGGTGAGTAACCTCCTAAAGACAGTCGGTAATGTCTTAAATTAGCATTAAACGTGTGTGACAGAAAGTTAATGAAACAGTAATGGATTCGCGCACTAGTTCTTAAAGTGAACGCAGCCATTTGTGTCAGTCATTAATTCTGTTGTCATAACAACAGAATATAGTATTAATTGTAAGCAATCAGAATAATAGCCTTTGTATGGACTAAAAAGACTATCCAGTGTTATTTTACATTGGATTACTTTATTCAGTTTCTGTAGTATTTCTGACATACCCAAAAAACTACCCCAAAATGTCTCTTAATTTGTGTCTTTATTCTATTGTATTTATTTGTGCTACTTTTTTCAATTTAATTCAAAGACTGAAATCAAGCTTCCATACATAAACTCTTAAAACAAAAATAAACAAAAAATTACATTACCATTTAGGTAAGATCAATGTAAAAAAAAAAAAGTCAAAATATTTATATATTTATTTATCTATATCTATCTTAAACATAAAATAACATGATACTGTTTGATCAAGCTGTGCGACTGTTCTGACTTTTTTTGCATATTGCATCAAAATCCTGTTTATTCTCTGTATGCATTTAGTGTACCTAAAATAAAAAGAGTTTTATATACAGGTTTATGGCTCTTAATTTCCTTGTATTAATTAACCACTAGTAAACTTATGTCCACTGTTCTTTTTTATAAATATAGGATTTGTATCACATCTTCATTATAGTCGAATCGAGAATCAAATCAGGAATCGAAATCGAAAATTGAATCGAGAATCGAATCGAACTGAGAGCTTGTGAATCGAAATCGAATCGAAATTGAAATGTGAATCGATACCCAGCCCTAATGCATTGATATGCATGTAAAAACGAGCATTCCAACATGAATTGAAGGCAACATTTTCCACTCACTTGTATCAGACTCTCTAAAAGTATACTGGCTGCTCGATGAGCTTCCGAGATAGAACTCGTCACTTCCTGCTTCCTTTGCCTCCTTGGCAACAGGCTCCTTCCATGCATCAATCTCCGTCTCACAAGAGTCTGGCAGGGTTAGGATGTCAGAGTTCTCACTGGAGGAGCAAAGAATCACATGTTCTTCCCCACCCACATTATCTCCGGCCTGCAAGAAAACATAAATGCCCCTTCTTTAAGCTGGCTTAGAAACACATGCCAAGAGGTAATTTTTGGATTTAATCACACCTTTTGGGTGGGTACCTCCTTCGTTGTTGTCTCCTCTCTTAGTGTGAGGTCCAAAGAAGTCTCTACCAAACTTTCCTCAACCCGCTCGTCTGAAAACCCAACATTGAAAGTCATTTATTTACTGTGTACTTATATCTGCCATCTGACTGTCTGAGACATGGTTGCCATAACGCGTTGCTGTGGGTTGCGTCTTGCTTTGGACATTCTGACTTTCTGCTTTCTAACTTTAAATACTTTTGCAATTATTCTGCTTATTGTACATATAAAATACAAAAAGTTTAGATCAGTAGTCCTATATAATAATTAATTAATAATTCGTTACATTTATATAGCGCTTTTCTGGACACTCAAAGCGCTTCACATAGAAGGGGGGGATCTCCTCAACCACCACCAATGTGCAGCATCCACCTGGATGATGCGACGGCAGCCATAGTGCGCCAGAACGCTCACCACACACCAGCTTACTGGTGGAGAGGAGACAGTGATGAAGCCAATTGGTGTATATGGGGATGATTAGGATGCCATGATGGACAGAGGCCACTGGGCAAATTTGGCCAGGATGCCGGGGTTACACCCCTGCTCTTACGAAAGACATCCTGGGATTTTTTATGACCACAGAGAGTCAGGACCTCGGTTTAACGTCTCATCCGAAGGATTATTTTTATATATATATATATATATATATATATTATATATTTATAATTGTGACCACACACAATATTGTCATAATAAACATACATACAGTATATATAGGCCAATAAATATAACTACTGATAGATCCTTATTTTTTACATTTGAACCTCTGCCCCTAAGAAACTCTCTGCATGGCCCTGTATACATTGGATTGTTTTTAATAATTTTAATGTACTTAAATTTACTAACTAAATTGCACCAAGCATTAGGAAACTGCAAGTGTCGGATCGGGACTCAGTCTCGAGGCACCAAAAACTTGATCACCTAATAAATAGTTTTGTGTTTATTCATTTTGAATGACACAAAGGATGACATCCTCACCATCAGGTATGTCCGGAACACAGCTAACTGCTCTATCCTCACACTCTCCAGTGTTATCCGGCCCCAGCGTCTCAATATCCGAACCCTGTAACACACACACCAAGGTTATCAATATGGCTTACGTTAAAAGGGTTAAACTTTTAAAAATAAAGTTGAGCATTTAGTAAACAAAATAAAAATAAGCCTCTGCACTGGCTTCTAAAAGAGGAAAATAAAAGACAGCAGCAGTGATATTAGTGAAAAATCCGTTTGCATTTGTAATTAAATTTACATAAAATAATTACACATAAAATGTAATTTGTATACATGTACATAATTTGCATTTACAAAATGTGTATATATAGCTATATGTGTATAACTTTTTAAACTGAATAACAAAGAAATGTCCAAAATGAATACTGTTAAATTTCACTCAATATATATATGCTCACCAAGGCTGCAATTATTTGATAAAAAATACAAAAAAACAGTAATATTGTGAAATATTATTACAATTTAAAACGCCGGTTTTCTATGTGAATATATGTGAAGTGTAATTTATTCCTGTGATGACAGCTGAATTTTCGACATCATTACTGTTGCTGATTACACATCAGTTTTCAGTGTCACATGATCCTTCAGAAATCATTCTAATATGCTGATTTTATGCTAAAAAAACATAGATTATTATTTTCAATGTTGAAAACAGTCGTGTACCATTTTTTCTCAAAAAATTCTATGATGAATAGAAAGTTCAAAAGAACAGCATTTAGCCACTTAATATAAAGTGGGACCAAAATAGAATCTTTTCTAACATTATAAATGTCTTTACTCTTTACTGTAACTTTTGATCAATTTAACTCATCCTTGATGAATAAAACGTTTTTGCTAATTTCTTTCCCCCAAAAATAAAAAAATTAATTCCCCAAACTTTTGAATGGTAGTGATTAATGTTACAAAAGCTTTCCATTTCAGATCAATTCTGTTCTTTTGAACTTTCTATTCATCAAAGAATCCTGAAATAAAAATGCAAAAAACTGTTTTCAACATGGATAATAATCATAAATGTTTCTTGAGCATCATATTATAATAATTTCTGTAGGATCATGTGACACTGAAGACTGGAGTAATGAAGCTGTAAATTCAGCTTTGACCACAGGAATAAATTACACTTCACTATATATTCACATAGAAAACCGATGTTTTAAATTGTAATAATATTTCACAATATTACTGTTTTTTTGGTATTTTTTATCAAATAATTGCAGCCTTGGTGAGCAGAAGAGACTTCTTTTAAAAACATAAAAAAATCTTACCGTTCTAAAACTTTTGACCGGTAGTGTGAATATATATATACACATATATACCAACCCAAAATCAAGAGTAGCTATCATCAATAAGAAAATGTGGAAATGAAAATAATGCCACAATAATAAATAATAATAATGGTCCTAAAAATAGGCTAATTATTCCTTATGCAAAAAATAATTTAATATTTCTATCTTTAGATTTTGGAGCAAAATATGACCTGTATGAGTTCTTGACAGGCTTTGTTTAATTTACCAAGTGGAGGATCATAAAAGGATAACTCCCCAAAAGCATTTAAAGTGCAGGTTAGAATTATTTGCCCCCTTGGTAAATATGATCAAAGATAGCTGTAAAAAATAAATCTGCATTGTTAAAGCTACAATACGTAATTTTTTTTGCCACTAGGGGTTGCTAACCTCTTACAATAACAAAGGCGCATAATGAGGCATAAGAGGAATTATGGAACTTGTCATCATGCTTATAGATCTATTAATATTTATGGATGAGTGAATACATTCATGTTTTTTTTAATATTACCGTGGTATGAAGCAGGGTCCGATTGCTAATGAGACACAGACAAGTCCCGCGGATATAAAGGAATGAGGACATTCCATTCTAACGAACTACTCTCAAGTGCTGAATTAATACTTACACTGGTCAGTTTATGTAACAAATTAAGATTGTGAGGTAAGTAGCACTGTTTCACTTGGTCTACTACACTATCACACTAAACTGCACTTCAGTGTGTTGAAAGTTATAATGTTATTATATGTGTCATTGGCTGTATGAGACAAGCAGTAAGCTAGATCAACATTAGAGTAACATACAGATTCTAACATTTCATCATGGTGAGCTATATAACATTGATTAGTTTTATGTACATTTGATCACCTGTCTAATAAAGCGCATGCAAGAGTGGCGTCTGTGTCAAGTCGAAGTTAGTCGTGGACGTGGTGCTCTCAGCATATTAAAAACGCCACGCCGATATTGATCTTTGTTTTAGTTCTCCTTTTGTCCCAAAGTCTGCTTGCCATGGTCCATAATGTTTGAACGAAACAACAACAGCAAGCTGCTTGACGTTACGCAGTTGTCCACGTCTGTCGCCATGGTTACTATGGCAGTACAAGCAGAAACCCGGAATAACGCGAATATTACGTCACTGACAGGCGACACTGACCAGGGACGAGCAAGGGGGTAATCCATCAGCTGGAAGTTGAAGCCTCGCGGGAGCCGCCATAGTAGCAGACCATCACCTGCTGTCAGCATTCCATTAACTCCCATTCATTTTGGCGTTACTTTGACAGCGAATAACTTACATCTGAGGCGTCCAAAGACTTAATATTTCAACAATGTTTTTGAGGAATTAGGTGATTCAGATTTGTCTTGGCACAGCTACTAGAAGATTTACAACTGTCAGACTGTCATCACGCTCAGTTTGAGCCTGCGCAGTCGCTCAGACATCAGGCAGGAAGTGCGATAATCGGACTTCAGTCTTCTCCGTTGAAATCAATGGGGACGCTGTGTCCATTTCTTTTACTATGGGCTATGTGCACAAATGTAGTTTCGAACTTCCGCTTTTGTCAGAAGTTGGCGTATCAGTTTCCGGTCTACGACTGGTCATCCGCATCCACTAATAAACAAACAAGATGAGTGCTGCTGTTGTATGAAAAAAGAGTTCTTAAACACATCAAAGTTCCTAAGAACTGTAGTGGATCTAACTTCCGTTTCACACCCGTTTGCAGTGTGTGTTGCGGTGCAGGAGCGTGCTATTAGTGCGTTCACATATGATGCGTTTGCACAGTGAATAACTGATCCGCGGCTGTACAACAAACACATACTTAATATTTTTATTATTTTTTGCGCGTCGATCAAAATGTCTATTTTGTGCAGCCACTGCGCACGAAGGTTGGTGTTTATCAGGAAGCAGTAGAAGCTCAAATGGCTGTTAGCGACTTGAAGCCGAGCAAAGTGCCGCACAGCACAGCAGTCTTCTAACGCACCATGTAAACAGGTTAGGGCTTTTCACTGGTGTGGTACGTATAACAGCAGCACAGCGATCGTTTCCACACCGAATCTATTTCTGCTGTGCTGCAAACGCTGGTGGTCAAAATGATAAAGATTGACCTGAAAATGTAGTAATTTCACCATAAATGCATTTAAAGGTATAGCGGAGGATTTTCTTTTTCCGGGTGGGTAGTCTATACTATTGGTCCACCTAAGTGTCAATCATTCTGGTGATATGTTTACGTAAGGCCGTCGTACGTGCTCATCCCTATGTAGTTTTCACTTTCAGGTGTATTATGTCGGAGTTGCGGTTTCAACCATTCCTTTGAAAATGGCTGAGGGTCGAAAGAGAAAAAATGTTTACGAAGTGTATGATAAGAAGAGAAAGGCCACAGAATATAGAAACAAGACCAGAGAGATTTTGGGTTAATATGCGCTGGCGTGCGCTAAAAGCACAGGTTGGGCTTCTCACTGATGCCGCAGTCGCGAAGATTCTACTAGACAGGTAAAGTTTGTCATGCTATTTGGAGAAATCCATTTAAAATCACAAGTAAAAGTTAATGCAAGCTACTTAGCAATGCTAGCCCTGGCACGAGTCATGCACCGCATAGACATGGTAAACATCTCAATTTGTCTAAAGTAGCCTTTTGACCAAATGATAAATGGTATCACCCTGAAGTATTCTAAAACCTTGTGTGTTCATGTGTTCATATTCTAAAACCTTGTGTGTTTATTATTATACAAATGCAACAAGCTACTTCTCCATTACATATGCAACTATGTATAAAAATAACGTATTATTAACAATGAGACATATTAGGTTAAGGACCAACGTAATAGCACTGCTTATATGTTGCCATGTAACGTAAAGCGATTTGCAAAATAGTTTCCTCAGAACGTATTTCGCGTGATACAGGGTTGTACATACCATGAGTCCTCGGTCACTCAATCGATCAGTATAATAAGTAAATAAAACACGGTAGGGCATTTGACATGTTGTCTTTTTTATGAATGTTTTTGAGTTAGTTTATAATTTGCAACATAATTGTGTAAGGCTCTCGGGAGCAAGAGTGTTGTGTTTTTTAAAAATTGGAGAGGGCGGGTCTTCTCTAAAATTCGGAAAGATCCTCCGCTATACCTTTAATTAAATAAAATTAAGTAATCTCAACATAAATGCACATTTAATCAAGGAAAACTACAATTTACTTCAACCAGGCGACAGAATCAACTCGTCTCGATCGTGGAGGTGGAAAAATAAGTTTTGTGACATGCAAGATCGATTGTTTTAAAATTAAGATGCAAAAGAAAAGGCAAGTCGGCTGCTTTTGTCAATTTCAAGTTTTAATTTAAATTATTTGCAATTTTAATATAGGAAATATTTGACCACTTTAATGCATGTAATGCATAGCCCTAACTTACATTGTTTAAATTGTGTTTAAACGTGCATACAAAGAATCGCAATGCTGACACAACTTTTTGTTTTTAAAAATAAGTCGCAGCATAACTTCTGGACTTTAAATAAAAAAATTAAGTATGTGTTTGTTGTACAGCCGCGGCGGATCAAGTATTCACTGTGCAAACGCATCATAATATGTGAACGCACTAACAGCACGCTTCTGCACCGCAACACACACTGCAAACGGGTGTGAAACGGACGTTAGATCCTCTACAGTTCTTAGGAACTTAGATGTGTTTAAGAACTCTTTATTTCGTAAAACAGCAGCACTCATCTTGTTTGTTTATTAGTGGATGCGGATGACCAGTCGTAGACCGGAAACTGATACGCCAACTTCTGACAAAAGCGGAAGTTCGAAACTACAGTTGTGCACATAGCCTATGGGGATGAGACATTATTTAAAATTGGAATTTCTCTGAAATTAAAAATCTTTGGGAACTTTTGGGATATTGTAAGTACACACCTGCAGGAAACATATCACACTGTGCAAGTGATTTTTGGATATTTTATTACATAAATCTTACATATTGTAAGAAAAATATTGTAATAAAAACATATTGTTATAAAAAATCAAAAGGATAAACAACGCAGATTTATTTTTTTACAGCCATCTTTGATCATATTTACCAAGGGGGCAAATAATTCTGACCAGCACTGTATACCTGATGGGAAGCGAATAGCAATAAAACATTAATCACCTCATTACTAATGACTGTCCATCCACAGGACGACTCCGTGTCACTGGAGCTTTCAGACATCTCTCAACCAGCTAGAAAACAAGTGTAAACACACAGCTTATGTTGTTGTCCTCTGTAATGACGTCTACCTGAATGCTCATTTACGGGATAGAAATGTCAGGTTGACCCTGCCACTGGTAAATGATTAGTCTGCAATTTGCAGAAGCCATACAAATAGAGATCTACATAAACAAAGAATTGCAGACACAAATAAAGAAGCTTTTTTCATTATATATCTGACAGTAAACTGAAATCTGATGTATTGGTTTGGCTTCATGCAAAATGTTTTTTAATTAAAACAACATGCAGGTTGAGGGTGAGTAAATAATGTGAGGATTCATTTTGGATTGAATATTTAATATTTATATATAAACGATATGAATGTCAGAAAGAGGAGAACTGGCCCCCGACTGAGCCTGGGTTCTCCAAAGGTTTTTTTCTCCATCCTATCTGATGGAGTTTTGGTTCCTTGCCACTGTTGCCTTGATTTTGGCTTGCTCAGTTGGGGATATTTAATATTTAACAATATTATTATTGATCTGTGTTGTACTACTTTCATGTTATCACTGTGAAGCTGCTTTGATACAATCTGTATTGTGAAAAGCGCTACATAAATAAATGTGACTTGACTTGACTTGATTGAACTACGTATTTAAAAACCACAGATCTGACTCAAAAATTGTTTCATTGGTTTGTTTTTCAGAAAAAGCCGACAAAAATAGCACAGTCTGGTTTGTTAACCATCCAAAAAAGCAGAACAGTGTCATTGCACATGTATGACATCATCCAAACAAAATTACAAAATACGGGGTGCAAAAAAAAAGCATCTAATCCATGATATTTAGGTGCTTTTTTGTATTACAGATCAGGGGTTTTCAAACTGGGGTCGAGAACCACAAGGGAGTACAAAGTGGTTGAACATTCAGAGAAAAACAGTATATATATATATATATATATATATATATATAAAGAAAATAAATAGAAAATAAATATTTTTCCAATAATATAACAAATATTTTGAATGTTCATTTTTCAAAGTATTAACAGGGTCTTTAAGAAAATAGAGAAATTATATAGCGAAATATTATATACAAGAAAATATATAGTTGCCTTTTAAGTTGTATGATAGAGTTCCCTCATACTTGTGCTCCGTGGCATCTAAAAGATTGAATTTGAAACCCCTTCCCCTGTTAGAGATTGATAGGAAGTAAATGGGTGGTGCATGATGCAGAAAACTGTTGTTGGATTGAAGTATGACAATATGGTCGTATAAAGCCGTACAAAATAGATAAATATGGCAACAGTTAAAGGGTTATGTCAGAGTGCATCTTATTTCAGAACAATTCAGATAAATAAAATCGAGACTGATAATCGAAAGTTAGACTTGTAATATATATGTATTTAAACAACGATCAAAACAACCGATTTGTCTCACTAACATGCTACGTGAATTGAACTTCTGTAGTTAGAGATGAGCAGATACAATGACTAACACTAGCTCAATTACAAAATATGAATGAGTCTCTTTAATCTGTAAGTCCTGCTATAGCTTTATGGTGACTTTAAACTGCCTTAATTAGCTGTCCTTACCGGTTTTAAAGGTAAATTGCAGCGGTAGAAGAGATGAAGGCTAATGTCCTCTGTGCAAATCTAGCATTAAACGTCACGCCTCTCTAACCTAGCCAAAGCATCAACATCAGACCACACGAACAACAACATTGTGGCGGCCATAGACATCATATAGGTAGACGCCCTATCGACCGATACTGCCTCTTGGCACGGACGAGAATTGGAGCCGCCATCTTAAACCGGTCATCCGCTCCGCTCAGTGCAATCTGAATGGCAGGTGAAATGAGCTGTCAGCGCATTAAATTAATCATCACTGAATACTGAACAGATTTTCACGCGTTTTTTTTTTTTTTGCTGCAAAGGTCATTCATGTACATAAATATATAAAAAGAAGTATAAATAAATATAATAAAGAAGCAGAAACAGATAGTAACAGTAAAGTAAGATATTTTAATAAGTTGAAGAAACAGTTTGACACACGCACATACATACATACACACGAACAGACACACACACACACACACACACACACACACTCTCTCTCTCTCTCTCTCTCTCTCTCTCTCACACACACACACACACACACTTTCACACACACAGAACGCAGCCACCGAATCCACCGAACGCAGTCACCTGTAATAAAAATTGAGAAGAAGCTTTTCAACGTGTTTACATCAGTAATTTCTAAAAATTAAATTCGGACAACATTATACCTTTTTTATTGTATGTGGATATAGGAGGGGAAAATGTCGAGACTATAAAGCCCTATTCAGATTAACTTTACAAGGGTAGATTGGGTAAGTTAATGAAATTTTACCACAGGACTTCTGTAATATCAATAGCCAAATCGCATGTGGTAAGATATAGGTTATCAATAAAACTAGAAGTTGGAGAGGTAAGTTAACTCAATTTGCGCGTCGCTGTCATGCGTGTATACTACGTTGCTTCCTGATGTGCGCAAACAGTACACAAATAACGCTTATCTGACAACCTAGAAGCTCTTGTAATTATTACTTTAACAGTTACCCCACCTCTCCATGCCGGGTGAACACCGGCTGATGGAACAGCATTTCACAACAGTACAGTAATAGCAAATGCTCCTTCTCGATTATCTGGTAATATTCTATTCACAAAATACAACCAATAGTACAGTAATGTTAAGACTTACTTGTGAAAAGCCCTATTTTCGGTGGTCCGGCGATTAGAACAGGAAAATGCTCCACAGTGCCCTCTGGCATCTCATCTGCTGCCACGCAACGAGACTAGGAATACGACCGGTTCAAGATGGCGGCCGGATTTCTCGTTTTCCAGCGGCCAATAGGGTATCTAGTCTCTATCTATGGTGGCGGCTGCCGAGAGTAAGATGGATGGGAGTTGTAGTTTTAAAAAGCCATCCCCTCAGTGGTGTCTTAACATTCCAGAACTCTAAAAACAACATTTCCCATGACTCCCTCTAGAGGCAGCACAGACTCTGGCACAGGGCTAACGTGTCACGTGAGTGCTTTTTTTAAGCGTTTCTGTTTGCGTGGTTGCTGATTAGCTTAATCCAATTTATATTGATTCCGGAGTTTAAATTTAATTTCAGGACAAAACTAGTTAATCGTGGTATGAAATGTTAGTTTTTACCGGTTTTTACGCCTTTTTATTTATGAGCACGCGCCGTTGACGTAACCGATCATTGCCATGGAGACGAATCTACACCACTCCACTCTCGCTGAAATTTATTTATTTATTCATTTTATTTTATTTGCCAGACTTAAGTCCAAAAACACCACGCACGACAGAACAAATAAACAAAGCAAAATAGAAGTATAAAAATTAAAATGAATACAAACATTTCAGCCAATGCACACTCAGTCTGGACGTGTACCTGGAGCAGCTCACTAAGGGATTTGAGAGTGCCACCATGATACTGTTGGTATACTCATCCAGACGTTGCATAAACTTAAGCATTTTTCTCAAATTTCTTTAAAGTGCTTTCAGGGTGATTACTCCAACAGATACACACATCTGACTAGCACCCCCTCCTCTGGGAACCTTGAGTAAAATTCTCATTGCATCATTGTAGGCAACTTTTACCTTTTGCATGCTGGATTTTTTGTAAGAAGACCACAGCGGACATTAGTGGTGGACATTGAACAGAGACACTTTTACTTGAGTAGAGCAGTAACTAAACTTACATGCTATGATGTTTGCCTGTACATAAAACTTACGTCTATGTCATCATCATCAATATATCATCTGTAATACAATGACCAAGATATTTAATATTTCTGCGGACCTCAAGACAATTTTTGGCTAGCTTGAACACAGGAAAATTGAGCCATTCTGTTTTGTTCTGCATATTAAAACAGCACTTTTGCTAGAATTGTATTTTACCGGTCACCCCTGCGCCTGTCACTCGACCTACCACTGCTATACGCGCCAGTCCTGCAATCTGTCATGGCTAAAGGTGCCTGTTATGGCAAGCCAAAGTGTTCACAAACGCCTGGTCGGGCGTCTGATCGCACAATATGGCAAGCCAAAGTGTTCACAAATGCCTGGTCGGGCGTCTGATCGCACAATGACACATTATTTCAAACACGTGCATCAAACCGCGCATCCTCGACGTGTGATCTGCTATTTAAAACACACGTTTGCAACGTGCGCTTTGGGGTCACCTAAAACACGTGTTTTTAATGCGCGTTTATAATAACAAAAATAAGCATTGAAAACGTGTGGGTTTTTCTTACTAGAACAAAACGCACACTTTTGACATGTAAACAGTTAAACTAAACAGGCAGTACAAACGTGTGTGAACTTTGGAACGCTAAAAGGCTCACAATGCGCCACTTTCCTACCACGTTTTGTTAAAAAAGCGGTGTAAAAAGCGCCGTTTGAAAGGCCAGGACACTGCTTTTTATGCCGCCAAAAAGCGAAACGCCGTAAAAATTGCTGTGGGATTGTGTAAACTATGCCGTATTTTTCGTCGGTCCAGAGGCGGTGGAAAAAAAACAACGCTCTATATGCTCATGTAAGCCACTTTTTACAGGACACAGAGTCCCCATGACATGTAGCACAATGCGTCATAAGAGCCATAGGTGTAAATGATAATGATCTACACCCTATTTTTTACAAAGCCAATCAATTTGAACTGTTATCACCCAATCAGTAAAGAACAAGAACAGACCACATTAATCCAACCCAGCACAAGGATGAGCTTCCAAGCCTCCGCTCACTGAATGTATACTGAAACTGAGAGATGGTTTAGCTCACTGCTAACGATACCACCTTGTAAGGCAAGTCTCTGTGTGTCGCGGGTTTGCACCCACTCACATCCTGTTATTTGCGAAAGGTTTTTAATATTTTTGTACAGTCTGTTTTCTATTAGAATGGAAATCGGTAAACTTAAGTTGTAGGTAGGCAAAAACTAGTGTTTTCATCAAATGTTAACCTAATAGAAACGATTCAACATATAGCCAACTGACTGAGCTTGTTTTAAGGTGCATTAAAGGATCATACTTTAACGGAAATGTACACACACACACACACACACACAGGAATACATTTGTAAGGCTGTAAAAAAGTACATAATTTGTCAAATAAAATCATACAAAATGCAGAACCACCACAAATATAAATTAGTGACACTAGCCATGTTTCCATCGACACGTTTTTATCCGAATTAAGTGATATCGAATGAAAAAGGCCTTATGGAAACAGTAAAATTCGATGAAATTTCATGAAAATCGACTCAAATGAAATACGTTCGGTCTCATCGAATTTTCTCTTGATCGATATACGGCTAATGCGATAAAAGCTGATGGAAACGTTATTTGCCGAATAAATAATGAATTGCGATTAAGTTTTATGCCCTTTTATGGTTGCAACACGTCAGAAGACGAGTTCATTTCCGGCCAGTCTGTTTGCGCACACATGGCGGATGTCAACAAAGACAGATGTAAGTGGACAAAGCAAAAAGATGCTTCAACCAAAGGGTTTCCGTGAACCACGATCTCCCAGAACTGATTGAGCGCTCGTTCCCACACCACAGTCACCTCCGCTGTCGTCGGGCATACGTGCATCGGCATCATCATAGCAATGTTTATAGCGTCGTTGTTTTCTTGGGTTAGTTTTGCTTGTTTTTACGTGGCTTGGTTGAATTCTAATGTAGAATGTGGTCTGTTATTTCTAGTTAACAGACTGCGGCGCTGCTAGTGTAACACACCGTTGCCATGGACGCAGTTCAGAGACGGAACAGACTATTTTCTTTAGCAGAAGCAATACTCGTTTTAAATTAATAAACTCATTTTTAAGTCAATATTTTGTGTCAAATTATTTATTTATTTATTTATTTGGTTGATTTATATGTAATAAGCAGGATAATATATAGCGAGGCGGTTGTGAGGCGAATACAACAACCGCCTCGCATACATTATCCCACTCATATGTCGCTATCAGCTGGCATATAAGCATTATTAGCCTTCAACTGATCATTTTTTGGTAGATGGCGCGATCCGTTTTGTCTAACAAAACTTTGTTCGCAAAAGTTTGCTTGTTCGATTCAGTGCGAAAATAAATGGAAACACCTTAAAATGTCTCAAATCAATTCGATATACCAATTTGATCGCAAAACAGCATGTGCCGTCATTACGTACAGGTTTTTATTCGCTTTAAAGCCGTTGGATGGAAACGAATCGGTTACCTAACGTTACCTAATGTAACCTCGGTTCTCTCTAGATGAGGGAACGAGTATTGCGTAAGCTAGCTTACGCTACGGGAAAGATTCATCTTTGCTGAGAAGTTGAAGCCAAAAAATTATTCCATAATTTTGTAATCATTGTCAACGCAGTCTCTTCTGAGGCAGACCATGAGCGGGCTAGCTAGCGGCTCATTGGTTCGCTCAGAGAGAATGCACGAACCTATGGGAGAGCGGCGCTGAGTCCGCGGCCAATGAGCGGACGGCGCTCGCTCACTGCGTCACAGCCCGCCCAAAGGGGCGTGGCTACAGTGTATAAAGGTAGCTCTCCCACGCTAGTTCGTCGATTCTGTAGCATGAAGCGAAACGCTGGTGGCGCAAGCACGGCCGGGAACGCAATACTCGTTCCCTCGTCTAGAGAGAACCGAGGTTACGTTAGGTAACCGATTCGTTCTCTTACGAG